GGAGGTTTGACGAAAGCACTACAGGTACATAGGGTTATTGTGGTAATACGTTATTTATACTGCTTTATTTCAGTTGTTTGTTAATCTTCCCATGTCTAGACTACCTATTAAAGGACAAACTCTTCATTTCAAGACCTGGTCCAGTATAGGTCTGCCTTATCTTTTCAGTCCTGTTTCCATGTGTGTGTCTCCTCTAGTTCTATCAAATTCCCTTTCTGAATTTAGTTGACTTCTGAAGCTTTTGAGGGTTTGACCCTTGTTAACCTCCGATTGAACTTCCCTATATGAAATGCTGGTCTACAGAAATATCTATTTTTAAATAAGTCATTGAAAACAGGCGAGATTTTCTTGCCACCAAATTTTGGGATTGTGCTGGTAATCAAAGAAAATCTTCACATCTGGATTATGTTTGACTCAATAATGTAAAAAATTAGTTCTGAGTTCTTATAAGTAGCACGTGGTGTGACCTTTGCTTTTGGGGAGTTGAAATTTTAAGGCTACACAAGATTTCAAAGATAGAATTTCTGAAGGTTACAGGACTTGATGTGCTCAAAGGAGTGCTAAGCTGTTTTGTTGACCACAGAGATCCTGGGGTATCCTGTCAGCGGTGGTAAAGGCCAGGGTGGTCCCCAGCAATGCTAGTGGAATTGAAATAATTGAATTGAGCTTTGAGCCGTGTCTCAAAGTGGGGAAATTGGTCAAACTGGGGAGACAGAAATGGCATCAAGGCATGCAAATGACAGGGGTAGTGTGGTGAATATACCTGGTGTGAGTGACCTTGAAGAGATCTGTTGACTTGCTTATCCTGAGAGAAAGGCAGCTTTGGTGTTCGGCCAAGTGGAGCTACTATCCATGTACATCAGCACCTGTTTTTTTTCTTTCTTTCGTCTTCTTCTTTTTCTTCTTCTTCTTCTTCTTTTTTTTTTTTTTGGAAAGTGGGAGAAGTCAAAATTTATTTTCACATATAATAAATGTTACGGAAATTTTTTTCGAACGATACACTTACTGAAAATAGTACATTTCATTTAAAAATCACTTCTTCATGGACCATACAAAATTATGAAATGACTCAAATAATTCCCACCAGGGTTTCTAACATTATATATTACTGTGAAACAGTTCCTGAGTAGGAAGAAGTTGGAGACATTCTAGTCCAACCCCCTCATTCTATTTTATTTCATTCTTTACATTTTGCATATGGTCCTCAGGTGACCTGGCACACAGAGACCACAAACAGAACGGCTAAGATTGATTGAGGGAATATTGAGTTCCAGCCCCACAGTGCATCCCTTCTTTTCTCTCCAAATCCTGTGGTCTAGAAACGCAACCTTGTTGGCTTCTGAAACATCAGATTGTGCTCAGTTTATTTCTTTGGAATACACACACACCGAAAATCTCATGATAACTTATAGAGGATCACGTGATTAGAAACAGGACTTTTTTTTTTTTTTAAAGATTTTATTTATTTATTTGACAGAGAGAGAGAGATCACAAGTAGACAGAGAGGCAGGCAGAGAGAGAGAGAGAGAGGGAAGCAGGCTCTTGGCTGAGCAAAGAGCCCGATGCGGGACTCGATCCCAGGACCCCGAGATCATGACCTGAGCCGAAGGCAGCGGCTTAACCCACTGAGCCACCCAGGCGCCCCAGAAACAGGACTTTTTTTGAAGATGAATGAGAAGGTGGGCAGTGAAGAGCTCTGGTTGCTACTCAGGCGGTTCCCTGAGTGTCCACGGAATCACTTTGTGATGAGTCAGCATCAAGCCTGGGCCTGTGGGTCCGTGAGGTCGATGTGAAGGGATGTTCTTTGTAGTTGATTGAATGTTTGGCCAAGGACGCTGCCTCTTTCTGAGCCATGCCATTATCTGTAACAGGCTGGACCCTCCTGAGAGTTTAGGAAACTCTCTGATACGCCTTTACCGATACAATCAACAAAGGCCTTAATTTTAAAAAATATGAATATTGATGTTTCTGATAGATGGTTTGTATTATTCATTCTTTTTCATATATATGTATGAAAACTTTTATCTTTACATTGTAATAGTGTATTCGTGTTTTTTTTTTGTTTTTTTTTTTTTTATTCGTTTTTTTCAAGGGGTAGCATACTATATTTAGTTATAGTATAAGAATTACTCATATCGGAAAATTTTTTCTTCACGACTACCAGCAAATGTCATGTAGCCTCTGGGGATTGGGGTAGTAAATCATGGTTCTGAATTAGGATGACTTAGTTGCTTGTCTCTTAATTCACATCTCAGGAAATCTTTACCAGTTAATGAAGTATAGTTTTGGTTCACAAAGAGACTTGCTTTTCCTTATTTAGTAAGGATCTTTGTTCTAAACTAAATGGTTATAGTAAATGTGGATAGAAGCAGGTCCATTTAGTGACTTCCCTTTTCCTCATGCTCCCTAGTCTCCATTCTTTTTTTAAAAAGAGAGAGAGAGAGAAGAGGGGAGGAAGGAGCAGAGGGAGAGGGAGAGAAATAATCTTAAACAGATTCTACACTTAGCGCAGAGCCCGACACAGGGCTCGATCTCATGACCCTCAGATAACGAGTGGAGCTAAAAACAAGAGTCAGGTGCTTAACTGACTGAGCCATCCAGGCTCCATTTATTCTTAAATAGTGCTGAGAAACACAGAAAAACGTAGCAGAAGCATATTGCCATTCCCATATGTGCTGTCTTTCTAAGTGAAAGGGATATATTTTTAAAAATATTTATAATGCTGAAATAAGATTGGTTTCCTAAGAAGAATAAGGAAAACCACATTGGAACGTCAGTGAAGGTCGGATGGCTTTATTGTTAGCTCAGGAGGTAAATATACTACCGGTTACAAACTAGCACTTCTTTGCTGCTGCTGCTGATTATTACACAGACGTGGCCTAAAGGAAGTTCACGAAAACTCTGGAGAGATCCCTGGGATTCCTGTTAGCTCATTCTGTCCCCAGTAGGTTACTTGGCTCATCATAGTCTTAATGTGGAATGTTTATTTTATTTTATTTTATTTTATTTTAAAGATTTTATTTATTTTTTTGACAGAGATCACAAGTAGGCAGAGAGGCAGGCAGAGAGAGAGGGGGAAGCAGGCTCCCGGTGGAGCAGAGAGCCCGATGTTGGGCTCGATCCCCGGAGCCTGGGATCATGACCCGAGCTAAAGGCAGAGGCTTTAACCCACTGAGCCACCCAGGCGCCCCTGGAATGTTTATTTTATTAACTTGGTCCATGCTGTTTCGTATGATTACCTTATTATAACCCCAGTGACTTGTCTGTCCTTTGTTAAATAGAGCAGTGATTTAGATGGCTTTAAAAAAATAAAACAAGTAAAATAAGGTTTAGTCAAAAGTACTGTGCATGATGTTTTCATTATAGTTCTACCTGCTCAGAACAGATGCCGTCCAGAGCACTGCTGCACTTAAGGAACATTTCTTGGCAGAAACCTCAAAAGTTTATGCAGTGAGCAAAGGTCCCATTGCTTTCTTAGAATTAAACGCACTCGTGCATTTTTCTTATAACATTCATAAATGTTTATCCTGTTTGAAAGAGTAGACAGAGTGTTGAGTCTTACTTGACGGCAGCCAGAGATGCCAGGTTTTCTAGGTAGGGTTCCTCTCTAAAACTGGAAGATTAAAAAACCGCATTCCCATTGTGCCCAACTGTCTGAGGTGATGACCTAAGGGGGATCCTTTTGGTGCAATCATAGAATTTGGAGAAGATGATTTTCAGCTTCATCATTATGGGACTGTCATGGTTTTCTTTGCCTACATTTAAAACTTCAGAGTTGTCTACCTGATTTTACAATCCGTGGACATTCTTCCCTTGTTACTGAGCTCCGGGTTTTATCTAGGGCCCTCAGAGCTCTGTGCGGAGCATTGGGCCCAGCGCTGGAGAAAGGTCACCGTGCTATTTTTGCCTGTACCTTTTGATTTCCATGCCCTCTGCCCTGGAAAATTCGTTTTGTTATCCTCCAGATTTTATTTCTTGTGGAGAAGGAATAAAGCCACGGGAAAAATTCCCTCATTTCTTTCTTTCTTTCTTTCTTTTTAAATTTTATTTATTTTTTTGACAGAGAAAGATCACAAGTAGGCAGAGAGGCAGGTGGGGGGGGAGCATACTCCCCGCTGAGCAGAGAGCCCAATATGGGGCTCAATCCCAGGACCCTGAAATCATGACCTGAGCAGAAGGCAGAGGCTTAACCCACTGAGCCCCAGGTGCCCCACCCCCTCATTTCTATTTCACGATAATTTCACAGCTTATGAATGGGTGATACTAGAAGTTGATTAAAAACAACCACATCAGGAAGGCTACAGACTGTCATAGGATTGCATTGCACAAAAATCATTGTTCAGCTTTTTAAATTTGTATACACAGAAAACATTTGCAGAGCAGGTCAGCCTACTGGTTTTTTACTTTGAAAACTGTTTGCTTTTCAGAGTTTACTCCAGGTGGTGATTTCAGCCGTTTTTGAGAAAGTAACATGCAAAAGTGAACGTTTAAAAAAGTGCCTGTGTGGCTGGTGGTGGGAGAAGGCTGTAACTTGTTCTTAAATTTCTCTTTAGTGTTGAAATATGGGAAAATAGTTGAGAGCTGTGGCTTTTACTTATTTAAAGAGTTATTCATTCATTTGAGAGAAACAGAGGGAGTAGGGGGAGGAGCAGAGGGAGAGAGAGAATCTCAAGCAGACTCCCCACCGAGCACAGCGCCCATTGTGGGGCTCGATCCTATGACCCCGAGATCATGACCTGAGCTGAGACCATGAGTTGGACACCTAATCACCTGAGCCAGGCAGGCGTCCCATTAAACAGATTTTATCACTTGAGGCAGTGAAGTGAATTTGGCTTCTCATCTTTGTAAAATAGAATACCTTTCAGATCATGTTATCAAGATGCTGAGTTTCCCTTATGTTTTTTTTTTTTTTTTTCTCTTTCATTGCTTCCTTCTGATGTGGCTGCTGTGTTGACAACCCTTTCTACTTTGGCTGATGAATTTTTGTTTCCATCATTAAGGAAACCTCCCAAGGTAAGCAGTTGATGTGGAATTTGGCGTGCATTCTAAGTGTGCAAACATCTAGGACTTCTTCATCACAGTAACCCATGTGGAACACCTCTCCCATTGAGAAGAAAAATCGACATTCTAATTAAAATTTAAACCATGAAAAAACAGTAAAGACATAAAATTAGAATGCTCCTCTAGATTTGCAAAACATTTTCATACATTATTTCATTCTTGGAATTAATGCTCTGGTCCTCAGAGCAAAGCAAAGCAAGTTCTCCTTGCGCTGGCCAGTCTTCAGTGGTTTGTTTACCAGGGAGTAACCCGTAAGTTAGAGAGTAGGTGGGGGAAAGAATATGAGAAGGGGAATCTGACTGATCAACTCCTGAATAATTGAAGGCTGATTTTGTTACCGGTGAGTATTTTATTGGGTATCAAAGGGACGCTTAGTGCCAAAAGGATGGAGAAATTCACCCAGTCCCTGACCAGTAATGCTGGTTATAACTTTGGTCTCTGAGATGGAATCAAGACAGGCTGATCACCCCCACTCTCCATTACATGGTCAGAATCTAAGACATGCTGGGGGAGGGTAAGGCATCTGGAGTAGATTCGGCTTACTTGCCTCTCAGGCTATAAAGAAAAATCAAACTTAGCTTTTACAACTGGAAACTCACCAAAATGCTAAATATTATCCTTTATGGTTACTGAAGGCAATATAGGAATTGTCCTTGGCACTAACATTTCAGCTCTAGCACAGAAGGTCCACCTGGAACAAATAGTATGAGATCTTTTAAGAACGAGGAAATATATGATGTTATAGAAATGTAAGCACTGGCATCAAGCCAGCCCTGAGGAATTAGGAGGTTCTCCCTGAGCACTTCCTGACGTGGACATAGTCCCAAAAAGCTGCGACCGAAAAGGTGTCTCTGCTACTCAGAAAGATGTGAGTTTCGCCCTAAGTAGCTTTTCCTTCCCTTGCTGTTGGTCCAAGAGTTTTCAGAGCAGATTGTCGACCTTGTGATGCATTTAATTCTTTCCCCACAGAAAAAAGCAATGAAATCCTAAGCAGTTTGACATATGGCTCCTTGGTGAAGGAGAAGCACTGAAATTAAGGGGCACAAAAACACATTTTTAAAAAGTCACTAATCTCTTTATACATAAAGATTTTCTGGGTTATTTTCTATTCAGTATATAGAGCTTAGTGATTTCCTGAAGGGTTCTATTGATAGTTCCTAAGAAGGACCATGAAATTTTCAAAGTAAAATCAATGTGAAATCACCACATTTAAATATGTATATGTATATGTCATAAGGCATATCTGAGAAGTATAAATATGGTCTTGAAATAAGTGGCACAATAGAGTCATATTTTGAAAAATAGACATTAAAATAAATAAGGTTTTTTCTTGCAGAAACTGTAAACATTACAGCAAACAGGAAAGGGAAAAGTGTTTTTCATGATGATTACATAAATGAAATCTTGCTGATTTTAAACAGTGAGAGTTTCTGCAAATGACATATCTGATAAATCTTCAAAATCTACAAAAAACTTACCAAGCTCAACACCCAAAAAATAAATAATACAGTTAAAAAATGGCCAGAAGATGTGAATAGATATTTTCCCAGAGAAGACATCCTGATGGCTAACAGTGAAAAGATGTTCAACAACACTCCCCTTCAGAGAAACACAAATCAAAACCATGATGAGATCCCACCTCACACCTGTCAGAATGGCTAAATTAACAACACAGGAAACAACAGATGTTGATGAGGATGTGGAGGAAGGGGAACCCTCTTGCACTGTTGGTGGGAATGCAAGCTGGTGCAACCACTCTGGAAACAGTATGGAGGTTCCTCAAAAAGTTAGAAGTAGAACTACTCTGCAACCCAGCAATTATACTACTATGTATTTACCCAAAGAACTACTCTGCAACCCAGCAATTGTACTACTATGTATTTACCCAAAGGGTACAAAAATAGAGATTTGAAGGGATACATGCACCCTGATGTTTATAACCGCATTATGAACAATAGCCAAACTATGGAAAGAGCCCAAGTGTCCATTGACCAATGAATGGATAAAGAAGATGTAGATATATACAATGGAATATTACTCAGCCATCAAAAAGAATGAAATCTTGTCATTTGCAATGACGTGGATGGAGCTAGAGAGTATTATGCTAAGCAAAATAAGTCTGAGAAAGACAAACACTATGTGATGTCATTCATATGTGGAATTTAGGAAACAAAACAGATGAACATATGGGAAGGGTGAAAAAAAGAGAGAGGGAAACCATAAGCGACTCAATGATAGAGAACAAGCCTGAGGGTTGATGGAGGGAGGTGGTGGGGGATGGGATAACTGGGTGATGGACATTAAGGAGGGCACTTTTTATGAAGAGTGCTGGGTGTTATATGTTAAATGATGAATCACTAACTTCTCCTAAAAACAGTATTACACTAGATTAACTAGATTAACTGGAATTTAAATAAAAATTTGGATAAAAAATAAAACTGCTTTTTAAAAATGGAAAAAAATAACTAAAACAGATTTTTTTGACATAAATAATCAGCAAAATCATCAAAGACTGGTTGGTTCAATTTAAGAAGAAATTTTTCTGGGAAGGGGGCAAAATGCTACATGAATGAGACCTGATACTGCATTTAATGGGGGCGGGAGGGAGAACATAGGCACAATTTAGTATAAAATCAATTGTGTTAAGGGCCACAAGAGGCATAATATTCATGGAAGTCATAGGATGAAGGGTCTCATTCTGACTTCTGCAGATCTGAGGACAGATAAGACTGGAACTAATATTAAAACTTATGCTTGAAGGCACTGGAGAAATTGCAAGTTAGTGAAGAATTATCAAATAAAACCCAAGAGATTGGTGGAAATTTAGAGAGGTCAGCCTGGTTTTTGAGTGTATGCCATTCACATAGAGCAGCTTAAAGGCAGAGCAATGTTTCTGCCTCATGTGATCTGGTGAGCCTAAGAGGGCAAAAATGTTGGAGTTCATGACCTGTACCCCTGAAGCAAATAATACATTATATGTTAATAAAAATTTAAAAATACATAAAAAAGAAATGTTAGAGTTCAGAGTTTATCAGAGGTAGAATCCTTGGTAAACGCTTTATACTTTGGGTTGGCAAAGTAGATAGAGATGCAGCTATGGGTGCGGTATAAAGATGAAACAGAACTAAATCTGCCTTCACATGGATTACTGTGTGGTTATAAGTTCTTTGTATGATCAGGAAGTCTCAAGCACTAAAATTAGTGCCTAATCTAATCTTAAATAGTCTGTTAATTAATCTCAAAATTAGATCAAAGTGATCCTAGAATGGGACATTCCCACAGGCACCTGGCAGAAGCAAGTGTAATCCCAAGTCTCTAAAGATTCCACAGACCATTTTTTAAAAAAGATTTTATTTATTTATTTGAGAGAGAACAAGCATGAGAGCGGGGAGGGTCAGAGGGAGAAGCAGACTCTCTGCTGAGCAGGAAGCCCGATGTGGGACTTGATCCTGGGACTCCAGGATCACGACCTGAACCAAAGGCAGTTGCTTAACCAACTGAGGGACACTGTATTTAAAAATACAGTGTCTGGCACACAATCAAAGAGGTGCGTTACAAGATAAGGCAACATGAACGGGAAATAGCAAAAATAATAAAAAGTAGAAATAGACCCATGGGTGCTTCAGATGTTCAAACTATTAAACATGAACTTTAAAGTAACTATGCTTATTATATTTAAAGTGATAAAAGATAAGACTTCAAAATGTTGGGGAGGACTAGAAATTATAAAAAGTGACCAAACAGATTTGGAAAATAACCCAGTAGAAGTTCTCACCCTGACAGTCCCAAAACCAAAATTAAGAACTTAGTGTTTGGGTTTAGCAGCAGACTTGATGCAGCTGAAGAGAGAATTAAATAACTAGAAGATAGGTTTGCAGAAATATCGAAATGAAATATAGAGGAGACAAATTGTGCTGGAACAACTGAACGTTAGCATTCAGAGAAATGAATTTAGATAGAGACTTTATACCCTTCATAAGAATTAACTCAGTTTGGATTGTAGGCCTAAATATGAGATGCAAAACTATAAAACTTCTAGAAGATAGTGTGGGGGAAATCTACAAGATCTTGACATTGCTGATGACCTTTTAGATGCAACATCAAAAGTATGACCTGTAAAAATAAAATTGATTAGTAGAATTCAGTAAAAGTACAAACTTCTGCAAAAAAAGAGAAAGAGAAAGCCACAGACTGGGAGAAAAGGTTTGCAAAACATATCTGATAAAGGGCTCTTATCCATCATATACAAAAAACTCTTTAAAATTCACCAGTAAGAAAATGAACTACCCAATTAAAAGATGCAGAAGACCTGAACAGACACCTCAGGAAAGAAGGTACACACATGGGTAACACACAGATGAAAAATGGTTAACATCATATGTCATTAAGGACTTGTACATTAAAACAACGATGAGATGCCACTGCACACCTCTTAGAATAACTAACATCTTGACAATACCAAGGCTGGTGAGGAGCTGGTATGGAGCGCCAGGAACTGTCATTCATTGTTGGTGAGAATGAAAAGTGGTCTAGCTACTTTGGAAGGCAGCTTGAAAGTTTCTTACAATGCCAAACATACTATTATCATTTAGCTGTGTAATAATGCTTCTAGGTTTTTACCCAGATGAGTTGAAAATTTGTGACCATACAAAAACTATACATGAATACAGTGGCTTCATTTATAATTGCCCAAAACTGGAAGCAAGCAAGATGTTCTTCAGTAAGTAAATGGATAAACAAACTGTGGTATATCCATACAATGGAATACTGTGTGAATTAACAAGCCATGGAAAAAACATGAAGGAACTTTTAATGCATATTGATAAATCAAAGAAGCCAATCTGAAAAGGCTTTATACTGTATGATTCCAACTACATGACATTCTGGAAAAGGCAAAACTACAGGGATTACAAAAATTATAGTGTACCTGGGACAGGACCCCGCAAAACATG